GTCTCGGACATTGTTGTCAAAAAAATTTCTATCCGCATAACCCTCGAACATTGATAAATGCTCAAAAATTTTATAACAACTTTCTCAAGCTTGCTGCTTATAGAAAACAGACCTCCGCTAGCGCGTCGGTCTGTTTCCAAGCAACAAGCTTTCGAAATCTGTTATAAAATTTTTTTGGTCAATTATCAATGTCCTTGGGCTTACTGATAATTTTCCAGCATGTGATCGAATATTTCGACAATTGAAAAATGTAGGCAGTAAATTTGATGAATCCGACAGGTGCTGTTTTCTTTTGTCGAGTATGCCCGAGAAATTTGAAAATGTTGTAACTGCCATAGGAACTCTATCCGAGAGTGATCTTAAATTGGAATTTGTCAAGAGTAGGCTACTAGAATTCTACACAAATAGAAGATCAAATAAAAACACCATCAGAAGCCTTTAATATGTTTCAAATGTGGCAAATTGGGACATGTGAAGAGTGTATGTGGTGTGAAATGTTTCACTTGTCAGAAATATGGTCACAAGTTAGCTCAATGTAAACAAAAAAAAAATAAGGGAAATGGTTCAGGGAATGTTGATCGAAGAGCAAATTGTGCTGTTGGTGATGATGAGGTACCAGAAATTTCAAAGAAGTCCATTCAAGAACAATATGTGTCTTTCTATGCTGGAGAGGAAGAATATAAAAATGTTTGATACGCTGATTCAGGTCCCATCAATGATGAGAATGTCTTGACCAGAAAGAAGCTTTTCTCTGAACCAAAAACTATGAAAGCCTGAGTTAAGTGTCAATTTGTTATCAGTCAAACTGTAACATTTTTATTAAACAGGGTGATAATGTTTATGTAGACGGTATAAGAGTTGGTAGTTTGTATAAAATATTTTTTGAAAATTCTAAAATGTTTGCTAATTTGTCTGTTGATAATGATATGGAATTGTGGCATAAAAGGTATGGGCGTTTGCACTACAATTCTTTGTCAAAGCTAAATAATATGAAATTGGTAAATGCTTCACAGATACTGAATGAAGCTCGTGATAGAATATGTGAGGTACCTATGTGTTAGGAGCAAACAAAGGTGTTTTTCTCCGAATGACAGTAAAAGCGGCCTTTTAATGACACTTGACAGGATCAAAAGTTGTATTTTTACTGCCTAGACAGTAGAAGTGGACTTTTACTGCCTAGGAATTAAAAGTGACAGTGTCACAACGCTCCAGGTAATAATTTCACTCAATTTGGTATTTGGAATTGATGGTGACAATGACAATTGTCAAAATATTTTAATTATTTGGATAATAATAATGAATGAAATAAATATAAAAAAGATGTCCATGTGTGAATTCGAACATTCGGAGAAAAAATTATATATTTTACATGGCAGAAAAGTAGTTTTAATGCCTCTGCTGAAGTTTAGTTTATGATTTTGTATTGCGTTCAGTTCTTGATTGGTATTATAATTTTGTGTTGAGTTTGGTTCCTAATTTCTTTTGTTTATTTGGTATGTTACGCTTCTGCAGGGTAATGAACAAGGTGTTTCAAATTCGAGCCACATCGCATTGGGCTCTCGGTAACGGTGAGAGATACAGGGTTGGTTGAATTGGGGCAAAGTTGCGTAATTTGATGCTTGACAAAATGCCGCTTTGATATTTAGAATATTCCGAATAAGTCGACTTCCCTTAAATTTACCATTAGTTTTATACTTTGAATCTTTTGTTATTCTTCCTTCCCCCGCGTATGTCATCAGCAATTTCCCAGGTTTTTCGTTTACTACCTATTTCTTGCATCTCTAATTTCTCTGTTACAAAATTTATTTTTTGTCTCACAGGCGGCTGGAATGCCTGAATATTCCTTGTTTTTTGTTGACTTTTTTGTAAGGGAAGCAAATATTTGCTTATATTATTATTATTACCTATATTGACTTATAGTCCCCAGTACATCGACCTTAAAATTTTGTAACTCATGTACACGCCAAACTTCCTGAGCGGCTTCATAACATCAAGTCGGACAATATTTTTCATATCTCCACCCTGGGCGATGGGACATTGCCGCGCTAGCTCTTCGTGAAGTTGTCGTTCTGACGTCCCTATGGAAGTTGATACATGTACGTGTAGTTTCAATGCCAATCGACTGTTTTTTACATTACATTAACGATATCACATTTGTCGGACAAAAACCATGTGGCTTTGGGGAAGGTCCGACACCCCCAACATGTCGCTGTGGCGTCCCTAAGGAAGTTGATACATGTACGTGTGTTTTTAATACCAATCGACAGTTTTTTACATTACATTAACGATATCACATTTGTCGGACAAGAAATTTGAGACAGTCAATGAAAAAATTAAAATAAGTCTGCCTTAACGCAACGTGCATATTAGTCAGTTTATTATTTACCTACTTTGTCAAATACCTGTGGGGCCCTGTGTCATATTCCCTGATCTGTTTTTTTGATAATTCTCCGAGTATTTACGGAAATTATTTAGTGAACGGTCATTCAAAACCACCCGTGTGAGAAAGAATGGATATTCAGTCGTGTTTTTTGTGCAATCTGAGGAGTGAAGATCCTGAATTTCGGCAGAAATTGATCAAAAGGACTTTTGTTGTCCGACTGACTTTAATACTTATTTTATTTGTCCGACATTTACTACACATGTTTTAAAATTACATTGTTATTCATAATTATTTTTGTCGGACATACATGTATCAACTTCCTTAGGGACGCCACAGCGACATGTTGGGGACATCGGACCCCCCCAAAGCCACGTGATTTTTGTCCGACCTATGTGATATCAATAATGTAACATAGAAAACAGTCGATTGGCATCAAAACCACACGTACATGTATCAACTTCCTCAGGGACGCCACAGCGACATGTTGAGGGCGTCGGACCTTCCCCAAAGCCACATGGTTTTTGTCCGACAAATGTGATATCATTAATGTAATATAAAAAACAGTCGATTGGCATTGAAACTACACGTACATGTATCAACTTCTTTAGGGACGTCAGAACGACAACTTCACGAAGAGCTAGCGCGGCAATGTCCCCTCGCCTAGGGTGGAGATATGGAAAAGATTGTCCGACTTGGTGTTATGAAGCCGCTCAGGAAGTTTGGCGTGTACATGAGTTACAAAATTTTAGGGTCCATGTACTGGGGACCAATAGAAATCTAAAATTATTTAGATTTAGAGAATAATTCCTAAATTCAATGTTCAATAATTTTCTACTTGGTAGAACTATGTTTTGTGATTCTATCATTCTAATGACGGTATGATCAAATTAATTATTGAAGTCGCCCACCAATAATATGTATGATTTTTTACAAAGAACATTAGTACATAAAACAAATTGTCACAAAAACGTATCCGGGATTACATCTAAAAAATCATTTTGTTCATTATGTAGGATGGGGGACGCTTTCACTATGAGTATAAATTTCATTTGCTAAAATATCGTGGCAATCTATGTAGACAAATAGGTATATTATAACAGATGGCCAAAGAAGCAGAGATACATACTTAGTTACGGTAAACACAATAAAAGTTACCTGAATCACATTAAGCGTGGAGAAGGATACTGCATGTTACAAAAATGATAATACCAGAAAACATATAGTGTGGAGTGTGGGACCAAGACGCTTACTTCATAGCTGTGAGCTTGGGAGATTGAGTTTGTGATTGATTAGATCTTCTTGTTTTGAGCAGCCACATACAGTGAGGATAACCAATCTTCTAAGAGAAGAAGGCACGTAAAGAAGAAGAGGAATAAGAGGCCGTTGCAGATCTCAAATTACTTTATTCGCTAGCAAAAATTCATTGAGGTCTCACAATTTATCTAATTTTTCACTTGAAAAAAAAAAGCAAATAACCTAATAGCTCATCGATTCACTGCTTCGATGCAAGAAAGTGTTGTTCTCATATAAATTAACTGATACTCATTATCGAGAAGACGCCTAGAATAAGTTTTAAGGGTATCGCGATAATTCTTCTCTCGAGAGGCAGTTCTCATCGGCTGGAAAATCGGTCCCCTGGGGAAGATATTGCTTGCTTTAGAAAAGATGAGTAGAACTTAATTTTTGTAGTGGTGGAATCTTCAATTCTGCTAAGATAATAAACCGCTCCATATGATGGACGTTGCCAAAAAAAAAACAATTTCTTCTCGTTGATATCTTTAATTTTTCATCTGAAGACTTTTTTGCTTGACCTAGGTTCAGGTATCTGTTATTTTTTGAATAAAGTAAGGTAAGACAAAGAACTATAAAATTGCTCTCAAATGTATGTCAGAGGAGTGAGACATTAGTTAACATCTCACAAAGCCAATAAGGTGATTCGCATGTTTCAAAGTGTCCGCCGAGAGCAAGATGTTGCTCAATTATTCAATGCGTAACAGGCTTCTATTAGCAGACTGGCTGCTCGATTTAATGAGACTACTTCAGGCTCAAAAAGACTTAGAATTGATGGTCCACAACGTTTAATGAATGCCAGAAGAGACCCGTTGTGACCGTGCCCGGATTTGTGCCGGCTGTTCTTAATTGCCATAGGTAGGTATTTAGGTTTCAATGGAAATGATGAGAACAAAATAAGACGCAATAAGAATTTAGTTTGAATTAGATGTCCCTCGGTGCCTGCTGAAGTTGATTGCGTTTACCCGAATTCATGGGCAACAAAGATGACAGTGAGCAAAGGATTATCATCTCTGGAAGATCGATTTGGACTAGGAGGCAAGTTTATACTGGAATTTTTACTTTCAACTAACTAAGATTGTTCTTTGACTATTGATCTTATATGTTCCTACAGAGTTGAGCACATCTGTGCAACTTATGAGGATCAATTTCAATTTCCAATTGTCACATGGCTACCCAGATTTTCATATAAACTGATCCAAATGCTAAATCTGGCAACATGTCCAAACTGCTTCCATAGTTATTGAACATACCAGGATTTGTAGCATTATTTATTGTTGGACTGGCTGAAAGTTCCCTAAATCGGGTTGAGTCAGTCTATCTGTACCTACTAGCATTTCTTGGTAAAGTGTTACTGCCATGGTTTTCTGGAGAATTTAGTCCTTCCTTTGAAGCGACAGCTGCAAACGATACATCAAATGCTAATCTTAACCACTGTAACGCATAGACAATCTCTTTTCTTACTAGAGGACTGGCCTCATGATTCACTAAAGTCATTCCTATAGAATGATCAATATTATTTTTGCATTTTGCATGTTCAGATCTTATAAAAGCATTAATGAAAGTTTCTAAGGCATATACCACCTTAGCTGCTCTAACTTCAGGGTGAATATTTTTCAATAAGGTATGAATAAAGTTTCTGTTGAGCAGTATGCCTTACACGAGTCCATCTAGCAGTCTCATAATTATCCCACGGTTTTTCCAGACATATAGCAACCCATCTTCTTGAATGTGGACTAGGATCTGTTATCTGCTCTAAAGAGCCTTAAAGAGCAGCGTCTTGTCCATCTTTGATTGTTTACCAAACAAGACAAAATAAATGTAGCTTGTTTCAGAAGACATTGTGGAATCTTGCAAGATCGACAGGAACTATTTATAGAAGATAGGAATCGTGGGTTAAGGAAGTATTATTGTGAAATAAGACCAATTTTCTTCTGGCAACGTTTCGTGACTATATTGTCACTTTTTCAAGCCCTATGAAAAAACATTAAAGTCAGCACAGACAAAAAACAAAATACAATTACTTACTCAGAGAGCGAGTCTAAAAAAAAATTAAGTTGGTAAGGTAAGTGTGATCTGGAGAGTGGAGACAGGACAGGCACCCCATTAGGAGGCTTGTTGGCAATACACAATTCGATCGTTCTAACACTCCTCACTTCACCAAGCCTGAAGCCAGAACCCACTCCGAACACGCAGAACAATTCAAATCACTTAAAATTAAAATTAGAATGCATTTTATACATCCCAAGCAACAAACGGAATTTTAGTGGGGTGCCTATCTCCAGATCTCACTTACCTTACCAACTTAATTTTTTTTGGACGTGGGCCTGGATTCCGAACCCACGATTCGATAGTATCGTCTATCGTCAGGTACGTACTTATGCACGAGTGACGATAGACCCACGATTCCTATCTTCTATACTTAAGAAAGGGGACGAAATGTTACCAAATTATGGAAATATTTATGTCCTTGCTCTCCTATCAAATCTCCTTGACAAGTAGTATCGACTGCTAACATTTCTGCCCAAATATACACAAGCATAGGTCTTAGCTCCTCGGCAAAACTCTGCAGTAAAGTGCGACAACTGAATGAACCTTGGCAACGTATGAAGAAGCAGAGGGGAAAATGAAAACCTATGCTATACGACGCGACGGGTCCCCGCCGTGGAGCATTGCGAAAATTGCACCGTTGTTACCGTGACGCGACGACCCGCGTATGTGTATGTTTAATCTTACGCCAATTAGAAGGGTTTTGCCCGCATTCCTTCCACACAGGTTCATTCAGTTGTCGCACTTTAGTTCCAAAACGTAGGGAAAAATTCTTACAAACAGTGCCAAAGAAATGGTATTTTTAATACCCATTTAAAATAACCTCATCCTTTTTTATCAATCACGAATGAAAAACGTTTTAAAACAGTGTCACATGACGTCATAACTTCTCGGCACGAGAAAATTATTTGAAAACGTGGATTGGATTGTATTTCAAAACGGTTTAAACCACTGCTTCGAACCTGTTTTGAACCAGTTTCAAAAAAGTGAACGCGAGAAAATAGCTCTGATGGTTCAAGAAGCGGCATACGTCAAGTGACTAGAACGACTGGTAATCCGAAACAGCCCTGCGTTTTTATTCTCACCAAATTTTACCAATGGATCCACCATTCTAAGTCGCACTTTGTGATTTTTTATTCTCTAAACAAAGATAGCTAACTCATTAGTGAACTCACCATATAGAATAAAAACGCTGTGTGTGTATTAAAAATGCATAATGGCCCAAGGCCCTAAGTCCAAAATTGGCCTCAAAAGTTCCATAGCCTTTGTCCTATGTACCTGTCTGACCTGTAATAGTTATTTTCCTAACAAGTGCGCAAAGTGATACTTCGAGTTCGGATAAGCTTTGAGTGCGGGAAAGATACTTTGCGCAAGTGTTAGGAACAATACTTTTTCTATGAGTGTTTGAAGATTTGCATAGCATCCAGAAGAGCTGTACCTAATCTTTTTAAATGTTTCCAGATGATGCTCAAAAGTAGGAATTTTCTCTCCTAGTTCAATGTGTTGTGTTTTCTTTTTTTTTCAGGGATCAGCTAGACTTTATTTGCAACAGTTATGCTGATGGTCACCTGACCTCACATCTGTTTTTGCTGGATTTCTCTTCCCTCGCTCCTCATACGAAAAGTGTCAAATTGAAAAAGCTGAACATTACCTGAATGCCTTTCTTGAAACAGAAATAACATCAAGCTCTTCTTTCTGAATATGTAGTTTATCCAGAAACCCACAAAACATTGAAAAATCGACTATAAATGCGGTAACAATGCGTAACAAAAATGAGTGCGCAAAGAGTTTCTATGCGCAAAGTTCAACTTTGCGCACGCAAATGAGTGTGCAAAAAACTATTGGCAGTTGCTGTGGTTTGCGATGTTCTGATCCTTATGCTAGCCAAACTTAGAATGCTGTTAATTGATCTTTAAAGAAAAAAATATTTAATTAAATAAATAAAGCTTCACCTTCTTTAAAATTGCTGGTAATTGGCTTAGGCTATGTTCAACACTAAATCCCATGCGTTCCACATAGGATGTTTGTTAGTAGAAGGTAAAACAGGTGAAGATATTGGTGCGCAGTCACAAGACCTCATAATTCTTTCCGCCAATCGATATAATTACGAAACAGGCTTGCCACTAGCAAATCTTGTCGAAAAAGCTTCTGGAAAAGCTCTCTGGGCAAAGTATTCCAGACAATTCAGTTCTCCAAACATGGATATTCTATCGCTAATATTACCAGGTAGGTACTTTATCGATCATATCCAAAGTTACATGACGAAAAAGTTTTGTGGTTGGTTGTAGTACGCACCAGCGCAAGGCTCTTTTTATAGGGGTTATCAAACAGGAAGTGGAGAGATCTGCAGGCAAATTAAGATTCATTGGCAATTCCTGATTGGCGGCACATGAAGCTTATCGAATGCAATCCTTGAAAGAAGGAGGTCCAGGACTTTCTCCTCTTAAAAAATTGGAGCAAGCGATTGCTGATATTCCGATTTATGTTGCGCAGCAAATGTTTTGAATGAATCTACAATGATGCCTACGCTTGGGCAATCATAAACATAAATATTTAAATGGTGCCCCCGTCCAACTTTGTAAGTCATAAATACTTACCGGAATGTTTTGAGTGTAAGTACGGTTAACCACCCAAATTTAACCATTAGTTGTTGGTTTAGGAAGTCCGTGTTTATTGTAATGGAATAACACCCGTTCTTCTTTAGCATTGGGCTTTAAAGACAGGCATAATTTTATTAACTCATCACCTGTACGATCCAGTGAGTATCGCGCTGTAGGTTGTCATCTTTCATATTGACCCTGTAACGCTAACGCTTGGCTTGGCCTATGTTTTCTAAAGCTTCCGGAACAGACATTGAGAGAGGATCGATTCTATATTCTAGTCGAGCACACGGTTGAGTTTTCATTATATCGGGAGGGTCTACTCCGACGTTTAAACACAACACCAAGGCAACGCTCACAGTCTTCATGCGTTTTTCCATGCGCCATGTTTGAGTTTTCCAATCGATACCTTCGATTTTGTCGATAATATGTCGTTCATCTAAGTATCTTAATGGTAAATCAGTGTCAGTCAATTCGTTAATGAGATTTCCGCCACTGCATGCTTCTACTGCCAACTCGCCCATGGTTGATGATTGAAATTATGACGTTTTTGGTATCAAATATTAACATATTTGGATTTTCTTACATCACACTCAGTGGCGGATCTAACATGAAGCAAAGGACGCACTCTGCGTCGGACCCCCAGAGCTGAGGGGCCCCCCACACAACCAGATTCTAAAGACATCGATGGAAATTAATTGGAAAAAATAACCTCTAGGGAAGCCTGCTGCGCTCGACGCGATGCGGCAACCGCGGATGTGACGCATATCTGACTTTTTTGATCTTTTCGTATGTCGAGACTACTACTCTTTGTTTAGATAAAAAGTTCCTGAATTTTTACAAATATTTTTTTTCGTTTTCATATTCTTAATAAACTTGTTTTTTAATTAGGCACTAGCTGACGTCACACACATAACCTCACTTTTGATAGGCGGACAAATAAATAGGCTGTTCATTTCTACTTGCTCTACCTGCTCAAAAAATCAGGAAGACCTGCTTGAAGCTGCTATTTATAGCCAAATTCAAGCGATTGACCGATCGGTCATCTTGACAGATAAACCATCAATTAAGCGTCATTTGTCAACCAATTGATCTTAACCTACCATGGTCTTAACTAACGTTAAATGCATTGCTTATCTGTCAAGATGACCGACTGGTTAATCGCTTAAAATTGGCTTATCAGCTTATATATGGGACAAGGGAACGCCGATCTGCTGCTGAGAGCTGCTTGAAGCAAAAAAAGCAGTAGAAATGAACACCCTAAAAGCGTTTAACGACTATTTACATCACACATCGTCTAGGCGCTAGAATGGACTCTAGCTATTACGTCACAAATCACATACTTTCAATTTTGATAGGGGGCCAAGCATGTCAATGACGGCCGTTTCCACCAACTAGGGGATGTTTAACGATAATTACATGTAAAAATGTCACTTTATTCGTTGATTATCGTTTAACCACCAGCAGGCTAACTTGAATGACAGCCCGTGTAATAAAGGAATTCATCATCGCAATGTCACTAGCGGCCATTTTGGGATACGAAACAGGGCCTGATTAACGATAATTTAGGTTTTTTCTTTCCTGTCACAGAGTCGTATTGGCTTCAAATAAACTAATTTATTATTACTTACATAGTTGCATATAATAATATTTATAATTACTAATTTATTATTATTTTTATTAAATATTCAACAATGACCACGTTTATCTCGGGCCGTTCGATCAGATCTAATGCATGCGATAGAAACTCGATCCACTTGAAAACAGCGAGATAAACGATGACGCCTGATTTTGTATCGGATAGAAGTCTTTAAATCAATCCTGTTTTTCAATCGGATCGGACTTTCTAATCCGGATCGAAATCTTTCCTTTTTAAAACAGAAACGCGATTCAAATGAAACTTTGTCAGCTGACCTGAAAAATGGCAAACTCTAACCTCAATTTTATTGTCTTGTTTTGTTTTGAAGTAAAGTTTTGAAAATTTAAGTTCTTTTTCTTCAAATGGAACTACTTTCTTTGTAAAAATCAGAGACTGCCCAAGCAGCAAGGGGTAGTTGAATCAACGTTGATTAAAGATTGATTGATGTCGTAGGCGTTGATATACCTACCAAAAATCAACGTCGAATGGCCATCATGAAAACAACGTATTCGTCGACGTATTCTAAGCAAAGTCTATTCAACGTTAAATATAGGTTGCAGGAGACATTGCAATTTTGAAAAAATAATTCGAACCCATTGGTACCAAAGTATTTATAAAATCTAGGCTAGGTATAGCAACTTTGAATAGTTATAACACTGGTTTTTTTCTGTTTGATTTAGCCCATCACTAGACGTTGGATAAACGTTGAATGGAGGTTTAAAATGTTTTTTGAAATAAATATAGGTTATTAATAAAATTTAAGATATCAATAAAAAAAACAGATATTTATTATTATGTATCTTAATTCTTAATGGATGCAGGTTTAATGTTTAAAGTTCCAATATTCGACATGAAATAATATTATATAAGTTGCTTAAAAGTAGATAAAGTGGTATCTCCATGCAAATTAATTCAAACTTCCCGCTAAGGTGCATCGCGTCCCGCCATTTGCCGCTAGCGCCCTCTGCGCCCAGCCCATCATTGCATTGGCGTCTGGCCGCTGGCGTCTTCACGTTCATCGCGTCATCCTTCCTATTCACTCATATTTTTGTTAATTTTGTAAATTTAAAATTATTGAAGGTGTAAAAAGTGTTATTATTTTTGTCATTGTGTGTCTATTAATGTGCCCAGCCTGGATTTAACTTCGATTGGTGGAAAATGGTGGTAGGCGTATGTATACTTCTCAATTCCTATTTAAGGGCAAGCCAGTTGACTTTTAACAATCCTCCAAATCATGTTTTATTTTGATCAAATTTGTGCCCCTTTACTGTTTCGATATATTAAGTTTTGTGTCAAAGATTTTGTGTTTATTTAAAAAAGTTGTGGAATAAAGTAATGTTTGAGGTTACACATTTTGATGATTTTATTTTATCCGAAAACTGTTCTGACAGACCCAACTATAGAACAAATTTCATAAGACGCATTTTGATTCAAAATTTCTTATGAAGCATGTTCTTTGTACTATTTTTTCTGTTTCAAGTTGTAAAAAAAAATAAAGGTTGAGCTCAACCTCAGGCTCAACGTGAAAGCTGACGTCTCGAATACATCTGATGAACGTTGTTATAAGTTTGAGGCCAACGTAAAAAACGACGTTAATTCAACTATCACATTCAACGTTGTCTCAATTATGACATTGTGCCGTCCTGTCAACGTACATTCAACTGTTGTTACAACGTAATGCAACGTTGGGAAGTATCGTACCTACTTTCAACGTTATATCGACCAAACCTTGCTGCATGGGTGCTCTCCCCTTTCCCGTCTCATGGGAGTTTGCCAAAAATGTATTAAAAAATAACATTTTTTTGCTGTGTTTAATTCGACCGGTCTCTTTCTATTTGAATCCGATGGAAAAAAGAGAATTTATCGATCGGATAATTTATTTTATGAGAGAAACGGAGATTCACTGGATGGAATCAAGTCGATCGGATCAGGATTTTCCGAGATAAACGTACCTAGTGATAACAGATAACACTATAAATGACAACACGAATATACTAAAATCACTTCGAAAATCATAACTAAAATTCCGCTCTACACCGCACGCCTATGACCACCGTCAGAAATAAACAAATAAATAAAATTTCGGCGCCCCTGCTGTTTAATGACAGGATGGTATCCCCTAATGGCGGCGTGCGCAGAAAAGATGCGCGTGAGAGTTAGCCTGCTGATTGTTTTTGTATATGCTGTGGTTTAACGTTATACCTCCCTTAAAATGGTCGGTGCAAACGGCCAATAATGATAAGTATTCCTTAAAATGACAGTTTTGAGAAATACTTATCATTAAGGGTTCCCTAAAATAGTTAGTTATTTGCGTACTTTATTAAACGCTCTGTTTGTCCCCCCCCCCCCCCCCCGCCCCACATTGGAAGTAAGGTTATCTGTGTGATGTCAGCTAGTGCCTCCAACACAACAAGAAAAATACCTAATAAAAAGCATGACAGGGCCCCAAAAAATTTTTTGCTTCGGGCCTCAAAGGTCCTAGGTCCGCCACTGATCACACTTACTGCTTAATTTTTGTTTCAAATAATTCAGACGGATGCAGGAATATCAGTAACAAAGTAAGAAAACCTTGCAAGAGTGGAAATTCATTTTTTTCACGGAATCCCAGTATGGTCGATTCTCAAAATGGTCGAAGAAAAAGTTTTTGGACACTTCCCAGAATACTCGAAAATCGACGCTTCTTTAGCGAGTTAATCCCTACAGACGGAACGTATACTTGTTATAATTCCTTTACTAACCTGTCCATGTGCGAGGAGAACATGAATGTTAACAAATACAGAAACAAATAAATTTTCAAGCCGCTTTTACGCTTGATGCAAGGACCTCAGGAGGGATGCAGTTTTGAAACCAATCCCAGACAATACCGGCTTTCTGGACTTACCACTATTTCATTGTCGCCAGATCCAAATTGCATCGAGCATGCTTGAAATATGATTCAACCTATGGTTGAACCTTGAACCAAATCCAAGCGGCAGTAAATGACAAACTGGTCATTTTTATTACAACCTATCGAATGTCCTCCCTGCATGCGCACTGGTCCAGGTAGGGCGTTTCAACCAATTAGCCTATCCAAAACACGTGACTTTGACAAGCAAACAAAGAGGTTGTGTGCCTCTTGGCGGACATTTTAATTTAGGTTGCAGACAGCACTTTGGTTAGTCGCCTATCCAAAACACATGACTTTGACAAGAAAACAAAGTGTTTGTGTCAATGTTTGTGTGCCTCTTGGCGGACATTTTTATTTAAGTTTGACAGCATCTTGGATAGTCTAATAGAAAGGCTGGTGTTTATTTACAATTTAGGTTATTTAATGTCATTTACTGCCGCTTGGATTTGGAAATGGTATAGATGACTATAGACCTTAATTGAAACTTTCCAACAGTCCTTTTTTTATGTATATATTTATATTTGCAGTAGAAAAAGGTACTTCCAAAATGGGCGGTTATGGAGAACGAGAAAATTTAATTTCACAAATCTAGGCCTTTGATTTTTTGCTTTCAGCCTGTCATCTGTCATTTGCTTGTTGCATATGAGTTTGAAAACATAAAGGTAAAATCGAACAATTTCTATAATAAATATTAGTACGGCAATCACGTAGCGGGGCGATATTAAAAAATCCGTATTTACATGTAGTAACAGATAAATTTTTCGTCCTACTTAAGTAATTTATTATTACAAGTACAAATACCAAACCGCATATAATATCAATGTTGCAACCTTAAAAATTTCAGTTTTTGTCACATACATACATTAGGGCGTGTTAAATATTTGCATAAAAATTCTACATTGTTAACCGAAGAATATTTTTTGCAATAAAAATTGAGTTGACAATCACAGTCGTGATTCCAATGAATTTTATAATAAGGTTACCTCTATACAAAACGT